GTTGTTGGCCTCGTAAAATTGTGAATTTTTTTTGTACCTTGTTTTATTTTTTATTTTTTTTTTTTTTTTTTTTACAAGCTACAAAGCTCATTTGTAGTCCAATTGTATAAGCTGTGTGCTTAGAGGTATAACACAACTATACTATAACTTCAGTATCATAGACAGTTGTTGCATGGTTCTAGGGTTTGTTCACTTCCTGTTTCCACTGTATTCAGGACTGCAAATAGTTTCAATAAAAGTGCAGCTAAAAATGCGAAAAACGGTTAAATGTTACAATATTGTACATACAGCCTTGACGATTTCCCTCTTTATTTTTTACGACATCATCCACTCCGCTCCATTCTGGTGTGTCACCCGGCTGGAGGTTCCACCGCTGCTTGCTCATTTTTCCTCATCCATCCCGATGCCGTGAGGACTAACTATTATTTTTGTACTTTTTTTTTCTAATCTAATAATGCACTGTTGAACTTAATGGTGCCTTATGCAAGTGGCTCAGCCCTGCGGTAGCGGTCGTTCATTGCTCCCCTCTGAAAGTCACACTTGTTGTATGGGTGATTTGACAAGCTTGATTAAGGCTCAATTACACATTAACTCACACCTCTCCGTGTTGTCATGGGAGCTGCCTGCATCCGTATTGGCCCATAGTTAATTGCGTTGTTAAAGTCTTAATGTACAGAAAAAAAAGTCACCTTTTATTCCTGGTTTTTTTTCTCACAGTCACAGTAGACATTTTGGTCATTATGTAACAAAAGGAACATGCTGTATGTTTTAGTTTTTGTTTTTTTTAAAGCACTTAAATTCATATATTAAAGTGGTTAACTACTGTGTAGTATATACTTAAAAAATACAGTTGTCCATCAACTTCAAGGTACAAAAACAATCCCATTTGGCAAAAGAAACTGTTTGGGTTTTCTCACGATTAATCTAGTTCCTGCTCCTTAAATCCGTATCCCTTCACTCCAGCATCGCCGCCGTCGTCCCCCTCCCTTTCACTCGCCCCATCCCTGCGAATGTGGGACCCAAGAAAAAGCTAAAGATTTATTGTAATTAACAGGCTGCAGTCAGACAGGCCTCGCCTTGTACTGCCTCACAGTAATGAATTGCTAAAGGCTTTGTTGGCATGGGATCTGTCACAGACTGCTGACTGTGTAGGTTGGTTATTGACCTGTCTGGGGAGCGTTGTTTTAGCCAAGCTGCAACAGTATTATGAAAACTATAGGAGCGAAGGGGGGGGGGACACACAGATAAAGTTAAAGTCTTAATGTACAGAAAAAAAAGTCACCTTTTATTCCTGGTTTTTTTTCTCACAGTCACAGTAGACATTTTGGTCATTATGTAACAAAAGGAACATGCTGTATGTTTTAGTTTTTGTTTTTTTTAAAGCACTTAAATTCATATATTAAAGTGGTTAACTACTGTGTAGTATATACTTAAAAAATACAGTTGTCCATCAACTTCAAGGTACAAAAACAATCCCATTTGGCAAAAGAAACTGTTTGGGTTTTCTCACGATTAATCTAGTTCCTGCTCCTTAAATCCGTATCCCTTCACTCCAGCATCGCCGCCGTCGTCCCCCTCCCTTTCACTCGCCCCATCCCTGCGAATGTGGGACCCAAGAAAAAGCTAAAGATTTATTGTAATTAACAGGCTGCAGTCAGACAGGCCTCGCCTTGTACTGCCTCACAGTAATGAATTGCTAAAGGCTTTGTTGGCATGGGATCTGTCACAGACTGCTGACTGTGTAGGTTGGTTATTGACCTGTCTGGGGAGCGTTGTTTTAGCCAAGCTGCAACAGTATTATGAAAACTATAGGAGCGAAGGGGGGGGGGACTCACAGATAAAGATCAACACCGACACCGGTGGCTGTGTGTCACCCTCTCGCCGCCGGACACAGGACGGAAGGTGGAGACAAAATAATTTGCGGGGATTATAATTTGTGATGACTCCGGCGTGCAGCAATCTGCAGCCGACCACTTCACGTGGGCGACCTGGCTGTGGAAATTGGATGTTGTAGCAAGCTGCACCGTGGCATGCTACAACATATGGATTTCAGATCAGCGGGTGAAAAGAGACACGATGAGTACAAACTTGAAACTGCTTGCGGCGATAGATTGGGGTTGGGGGAGCAGAGGGGAGCGGAGGGGGCGAGGGGGGTGCTAGCGAGGCCTTTTGTGGGCAAAGAGAAGGAACATCCATTCTGTGAAAACAGCAGCCAATACTGTTCAAGTGGTAATTGAGCCTTGATTTAGCTCCATGTTTGCTCGCATCCTTTACACTTTCCATCATCCTCTCTCATCCCTCTGCCACATCTCTTCTGTCTCACCAACAAACACACACATACACACACACACAAACACAGCTCTTTGTTCTCAATTGACTCTTTGTACAAAAAAAAGGAAAAAAAAAACAACAAAAAAACAACTTTTGTAAAATTGTTATGTTTTTGCTTTATGAAATTTTAATTTGAAATTGTTTTGCAAAATTGTTATATTTCTGTATGAATGTATTTTTTATTGAAATAATAAGAAATTCTTATCTGACTTTGGCTGGCTTCCTTTGTCTCATTTGTCAATTCTCCTCAGTTCCTGCTTCATTATTGTGGAAAGTATTATTTTCTTTTTTGTTTTATTGGAGCCTTCGGGAGGTCTGCAGCTCGTTGTGGGTGAGTGGCTGCCTTTCAGCTACACCCTGCCCTCCAGCAGTATGCAGCCAATCAGATTACAGTCTGGGAGCGAGGATGCGGGGTTGCACATGTGACATGTTGAATTAGTCACTTTAAAATGGAATTAGAAACACCAGTGTTTACCGGACTGATCATTGTTGTTCATCATCAATTCAAAAACACAAAGTGAGGAAAGACTCCTCATCAAACCTGGTGCGCCTTGTTTACTCGGCCGCCCTTGAAAAGTTTTGAGGAAAATCTCCTCGCCGTGGTTTGGATCCTGAAAACGACCGACTCGTTTACTCCTCCGAGCGAGCTCGTTCTCATCAAAGCAGTATAAATAATTTAGCGCCGTCTCTTACAGCTCATGGCATTTAATTAGAAAGGCGCTTTTATACATTTGTTAGATAATTACTCTACTTGACACGGATAACAATGCAGAACGGCAGTGGATAAAACAAAGAGTCCTCCTTAACTTAAAAACCAACAAGAAAAGAACACACAAATATATGTGTATATATATATATACAGCTGACCTGAAATGATCAGACAACTTATTATACAACCTCTGATTTTCAGTCACAAACCTCTGTTGAATAAATGAAGCTTTTCCTGCAGTCAGCAATCACTCTAACTCTGGAGAACCTTTGGAGTGGTGTTTTTTTTTTTTTTTCTGCTGCTCCTTGATCTCCCAAAACTGCCGCCCCTCTTCATTTGTTCCAAATGCAACCGTGATGCATAATGAATGCCTGAAGAGCAACAGAAGAACTCAACTCCCCACTTGACCTGTTTGTGGGGAAATTCCTGCATGTCCAGTCGTTGCCGATCGTTGCCTTTACCCCTCTCAGAGTTGGGGGGTCGGGCCTCAGGCTGCGTTGGATTTCCAACGTAGCTGACTCACATCCTGACGAGTGACTCGGAACATTTACAGTTTCCTGTAAATGTGGCACAAAGATAGCTGTGTTCCTGGGATTATGCAGTGAGCACATCCTTCAGATGTTTCTCCACAGTAAATCCATGTGGATCGCAGGGAGTAATAATTCACTTTCAAAGGACGTACAACTTCTCTTGATACGCAAGAGGAGGGTATACACCTTCAGTGAGGTTTAAAGCAGGGGTCACCAACTATATGTGGGAGGGCAGGATGGAGAGACGCCTTCTTGGCCGGACACTCAAAAAAAAAAATTTGATTTGTTTTTTTAATATATATATATATATATATATATATACTGTATATATATACTGTATACATACATATACACATATATATACACATATATACATATATATATTGTTACAAAACTGAAGACATTTTTAGCCTTCGGTTTATTGGGGACCATCTGATATATTTTGGAATCCATTCGTGGCCCGGATTGGCTGATTCAGCTGGCCTGGATTTGCTGCTTTATTTGGGGCCGTCACTGCTTATGATTAGTGTGGTAAAAATCTTTTTAAATTTTCACATATAAAAAGACATGTTTATTGGTTTTACGCGATCCACATAAAACACCTATGTGTGGTTTGAGGACCTTTGGGAAGCACATGTGGCCCACACATTGAAACATTGCCTAATTGAAGCCATACCCAGCATGTATCACTGTAATACTTTAGCACATTTTATTATT